ATCGAACTGCGGGTTAAATAAACACTGTTTTCATCCGGTCACTGATCTGGTTCACTGGTCTTCATAACATGATTTACAACAGGTTTTATTAGCCATCATGTCGACAGATCCGGTTTCACATCCACACATATTTGCAGATATCGTTTGTTTCCGTATATATATATATATATATATATATATATATATATATATATATATATATATGTATATATATTTATTTATATATATAGTCATGAATATAGCTATATGTGTTTTTACCAAAAAACAATTATATTGTTTGGTTTGCCCGGGGACCCATCATGTGTGTATGGGTAATGTGGTCCATGGGGCATGCAATGGTTCAGTTCAGGAAAATTTTAAGTCCTTCAATAATGTACAAGGTCGACCCTGAGTCAGATGAATGAATATGAGACTCGACCCGAGACACTCATTTTCGGACAAAGCCCGGTCCTGATAATTAGGACCGTGTCCTGGAATTAGAGTTGTGGGAGAACCTCCCACAACTCAACCACCAAGTCGTACCATTCTTCCACCAACACTACTAGATAAATTTTATTTTTTTGTTTGGAAAGACAAACACAATATAGATTTGCCTTTTTCGATCGGCCGCTTTCTCTCTTTTCTCTTTTTCTCTGTCTCTCTTTCTCTTTCTCTTTTTCCTTCTTTCTCCCTACAGTCAATTCTTTGTCATGGGCACATTCCCCTCCAATGCAGCCAGGGTGTTCTGCTTACACACAAATTTCCTAATTTCTTGATCCATTTAAATTTTAGTCAAATACCTCTCAGTACTGTCAATTACGGTCATTTCAGATCAACTTAAAATTATGTGACTGGGTGGAAACAGAAAAACTTGAGAGAAATAATGGAAGAGAAAGCACGTAAATTGCCACCTTGTCTCAAAAATCATAATGTCTCCCATTCTTTCTCTCTCTTTGTTTTCACCATCTTTCCAGTTATCAGCCAATTGTTACATCTCACCCAACTCACTGCCACTCACTATGTTGACAAGGAGCCATGCAGACAAAACCATGCAAGTTGACAAAGAGTCTGTACATTTACCAGTCTACTGAGAGAGAGAGACATCAGTCAACGAGCGAGGAAGAGAAAGAGAGACAGGAGGAACTTGTGATGACTTCATTGGATCCAATACTCTTGTGGTCATAGGGCCAAGACCGCACACAGGTAATGGGTTGGTGTTTTAGCTGAAAGGGGGTTTGCTGCAGAAGAGAGTGAAAAATGATTTTTTTTTCGTAAAAATTTTCCTGAACTGAACCATTGCATGCCCCATGGACCACATTGCTTGTACACTCAGGATGGGTCCCCGGGCAAACCAAACAATATCATTGTTTTTGGTAAAAAATATCAATCATTTTATTATTCTGTAATCGGGGCTGTCATATGCATTACAATGGTTGAATATATATGGGTAAAAGGAAGGGATGACCACTCACTCATCTAAATGAGCAGTTTTCACTGCACAATCAGCCTAGTTGTTGTGACCCTAGGACGTCGTTTACACCATCCCTGCTGGACTGCTACATTTTTTTTTTTTTTTTTTTTTTTTTTTTTTTTTTTTGACTATGGCCTACAAAATTGACTAAAAACTGTATCTAATTTAATTGCTCTGATCGTTTGCAAATTTAAGACTGATGATGGTAGTGGATAACTAGTGGATTGGACTGCTGTCATTGCAGCCAGAAGGAAGGTGTCTCGCCTTCCACAGGAGTTTACGTTTTGGCAGAAACTCGACCACATACTATACAAGTATAAACAAAAAAAAAATCAAAATATGATTTTTTACAAAGACAGACTCAGAGATTGGATCATAGGTATTAATAATAATTATCGGTGAGCCAGTGTTTTTTTTTTTTTTTTTTCAAATTAGTAGGATTTTTTCAGCCATCTATTTGAAGGTAGGTGTCGTACACAATCACTTTTACTGAAAAATTAGATGTTATGTTCAAAAGAAGGAGGGTTAGGTGGTTAACGTGAAACTGCACAAAGGATTTTAACAAGTGCACACTACATGATTGAACATATAGTAATAATGATAACAATAATAATCTTTTTTAAAAGAGAGAGAGAGAAAAAAAAAAAAACGTTTTCGTCATCTATGCTATTGCCACACTAATTGCAATTTAGGACAGTCACTATAGTTGCACTGCAGTTAATGTAGGACGCTTTTGTGGGGGGGCTCTGGATCAGTTTGCACGTGAAAGTGCTGTGTTGTATGTGTATGTGTGAACTCTTTCTCTCTCTCTATCTCTCTTTCTCTCACTCTCTCCCTCTCTATCTCTCTATCTCTCTATCTCTCTCTCCCTCTCTCCCTCTCTATCAGTATAGTCCTGCAGCTGCAGGACTATATTGATTTGGGCGTGATGTGATTGACTGAGTTGTCGTGGTCGGATCGGGGGTGTGGGATTAGTGGGCCGTTTAAGGGGCAGTGGGGGAGGGGGCTCGCCCCTGACGGTGCTAATGGTAATGATGATAATAATAATAA